CGGCTGTTGTTATCTTTATAAGAGTGATCGTTGATGAGAATAAAGTCTTGGTGTATATGTTTGTAGATATTTACGACAGTAGATCTGCGGTTGAACCAGCCACGGACATTGTCTTGTAGTCTTTTAGTGCAGACTGGAAGGTCATTGTGGAAGAAGATGCCTGGAAGTGAATTGTTTCGTCTTTTATGTGCTCGTTGTCAAATGTTTGTCAAGGCATCCGAAAGTATGCCTTTCATGCATACACTTTCGTATTGCATACACTTTCGTATGCCATGAATACGAAAGTATCAAGGTAGCGATGGTTATTATATAGGTTGTTTGTGATTAATTTATCCCTTCTCAGGTAGTTGAGCACTTTTGAAGAGAGACTCAGTCCGTATTCCTCCTTTCCTAGTTTGTCGGTGTGCCTAATGCTTTGTGGGGTTAGAAATACTTGAATGGGTCTCTAGTCCCCCAGAATAGTTTGATGGCTATTGGCCCTTGTTCAGAGATAAATAATTTCGGTCGATGGCTGGCTCTATGGTTATTTGTAATATTGGTAATTAATATCTCTTAGGATGACAGTCTTTTTTCCATCTTGAGCGTCACTATAGCAGAAAGTTGAACAGAGGCCCAGAGTAATATTCATTAATTTACTATTGGATTAAGCGCAATTAGAACAATTCCAGGCATACAAGGTTTGTGACGGAGATGACTCTTGAATAAGTAGCGTCGAGGTAGCAAGGGCTCTTGCGAAGATACCCTGTGCAGTGGTGGGTTGTGATACTGGTGCGCTGTCCAAGGACCGGTTCTTATATGGTGACTCTGCAATTTTACATTGAATAAGTGGTGACGCATTGATTATTTGACAATAATTTTATACTACATTAATAAATTATCTGACAATTCCTTATATTATTAGAATACATTTTTCATTATCCTGGGATCTCGGTCTTCGTTTTGAGTCATGGCTATCGAGGGAGGAGGGTCATTCTTATGATTGCCGTCGTTGTTTAGTTGTTCTGGTATGTTCAGTGAGGTCGTCATCGTCTATCTACTCGGTTTTTTGATTGAAATCAGTCTGTTAAGTCTTTTTCTCTGGTTAGTTATAAAAGAAGTTGACGATTTTTGTGGAGTCTCTGTCAGGAAAGTCTTGTCGACGTCGTAGTTGGCCTACCAGTCATTTGGAATGGATGCTTCCGAAGCCCTTATCGCCGTATCGGCGATAAGGGCTTAAATTATTATATCTGCGGATTTTAATTTTGTCAAGTAGGTCAGTGTCAATCTATATTATGAAATATTTGTCTGTTTGTTCACTTGTTTGGCTGTATCAACGAATATTACGTTAATTTTCTTTATGATAGTTTCATGTTGTTTTGCTGTTTATTTCGTGTTTTTTTTTGTTTGCGCTATAGGTACGGTAGTTTGCGGCTAAGGTGTAGTAGCCGTTGAGGTAGTTGAGTCATTTTTTGAGAGTTGGAACATTCGGTGTGGTCCTTGGCAGCACATTCAGAGCAAGCGGGAGTAGCAAATATTTATTGTTATGTTGAGGGTCTATTTCGTAGCACTTTTAGGTGAGAGTAGTGTTCCTGTTCTCACTGGTATGGTGTAATTAAGAGTTTTATATCAAACAGATGTATTTTTTTCGTATACAGCGTTGGGCTATTTAGGTGTCAATGGTTATGAGCTCTTTTAAACGTGTTCGTTTTATTTGAATGATTTATATTACAAGTAGCCAAGATTGCGGTGCAATGATTTCGTCTGTGGCGTGGCTTCCAATGTTTTTATCCAGATGTCTAACGAAAATGATCCGTTTTGTACCGAGGTCAGTGGGTATGACGGACGGTTGTTGACAAATTGAAGAAAAACAACCGTTAATTTTCGTGAATGCGTCGGTCGCTTTTTCTGAAATGAGTTTGTCAATGACGGCGGCGTCATCGGTAACAGAGTAAAACCCAATTGAGGTGTCAGGCATTTTGTTGAGCGGGGAGCTGAGTTCTCTGAAGGTCGTATGAAATATCTTTTGTCGGCCAATTGTTAGTCTTTGGTCGATCTATGCAAGTTGGATACGGTAGGTGTGTGCTCCCGTGCGTTATAGGTTGTTGGTGATTAGGGAGGTGGTTTTCATGGTCGATGAGATGGTTTAATGACAATCATGAGGAATGGTGACGTGATGAATATGATGGAAGCAGAGGTATTGATGGGGGATGCGGCCCCTGTCCCTTTAGAACAGGTTCGTAAGGAGAAGGCATAGTAATGGAGGGAGCGCAAACACGAATATACGGTATGACACTCAAATATAACAAAAATGTTAGGAACAGAAGCACTTTGAAAATACAGCAACCGATTCCTAGTGACGCGCACTTGCGATTGTTTGGCTTTCAATCCGGAAGACATGAAGAATACGGGACACAGAAGAGTTGAGCCGCCGTCAATGGTCACTGGGGGCCATCGCCCCTACCTGGCACCAAACGATAAATTGAGGAGACGCAAGTCTATTGTGACACCGGAATTATGACGAAGGACAAAACAAAGCTGCGATCACAGTTTAGTCCCTTTCCGTGGAAAGACTAAGGCTTTTCAATAACTTGAAGATGGGGCTGTGAGGGAAGAGTTAACCCCAAGACATTGAGGAAAATAATGGATTGATATTAGTTAAGTCCTATGATGGTCCCTCTTGTACGCACTGCAGTAATCAATATAAGAGAAACTTCATTTTGCATCAGGTAGCCAAACTGATTTCAGATGCTCTTAACTAAGTTCAACAACTCTCACATGAGCATCGGATTTATGGAAGACCAGCGTGCTGGCGACTGTAGGGCGGCAGAAGATGTACATTCTGGGTGGAGCAAAACCTCCCCTATGGACCTAATGCTTCTTTCGAAAAATAATCACAAATATTCCAAAAATTGTTAAGAAAATAAACCCTTACAGATTCATTATTAACAACTGATCTCATGAGATAACAGCATTTTCTTTAATTCACATTATCTCGAGGAGTTCTTCTCAGTTTAAGAATAAAGGCTAAAACCAAAAAAGTTGCATGAAATATTTTACTGTATAAAAGTCCTAGATAAATAAAACAGAACGTTTCGGGCTATGCCCATCATCAGCTAGTAGAATGCATCTGGAAATACATGGAAATCAATTTTAGTAAATAAATTTAGAAAATGATAAGAAAAGAAAGGAAAAAAACAACTATTGACCTAGAATCGAAAGAGGAAAAGAACTGGATTGGTTATTCAATTTAGGTTTAAGTTTATGGATGTAAAGAGACTCTAAAATTCGTAAATCGGTTTGGCTGCTAGCTAAGTATTTCAAAAATTTAAATCAATTATATATTCCACAGAAGTATTTTTCAGGCAATCGCTCTAGGTTATTCTCGGTTAAAGAGTGTAGTAAAATCGGGGTAAATGATCGTTAACTCATGATTCGGGAGTAATTGGTTAATTTTGTTGGGTAAATGATCGGTATCCTGTTTATACAGATTCTGGGGTAATTGTTCGTAATAATATTGAAGGTAATTGGTTAATTTTGTTGGTAATATTCGGGGTAAATGATTGTGGTAACCTATGATTTAAGCTGTTTATGGAAAGTGTGACGATAGGCTCCTTTTGCTATCTACTAATATCATAACCGGCACCAGAAATTGACCCAAAATATAGAAATATGCGAATGAACCAAATGAAGGACGAAGTTCATTCTCCCGCTACTGTTTCCAACGCTAATCCCTCCTCCCTCTCACAAAACCCCCCCATGCACGGCCTGCTTAGCTGCTCTGTTCAGCTCGCTGCCGGGCAATCCAAGTTACCAGCGCTAAAACAGCGATGAGGTCCGTCCCTGCCGAGCTGTTAGAATTTGTCTCTATATTAGCCATAGCGCAGCGCAGTTTTAGGGATGGGTGGCCAGTTATTGTTTCATGGCTCCATCCTGCTAAAGCGCGACCAGCCCGGCTAAACCCGGCGACGGTCTCGGCTCAAAATTTTAACTGGGTACAATTCACCTGGGTCTGCAGAAGAGAAACATCCCCTAAGCGTTATGCTGCCAACTCTAAACTTTACTGTGGGGACGGTATTCATCGGGTGAAACGCAGAGTTCTTCTGTCTCCTAACACGACTGACACAGTTTCGACCAAACAACTCAATTTGAGTCTCATCTGACCATAATATTTTATCCCAAAAGCTTGAAGGTTTACTCACGTGTTCTTCAACAAGGTTCCGGCTGTTCTTTACGTGAATTTCCTTCAAGAGAGGGGTTTATTTTGATGACCGCGAGTGTAATCCTCTCTTTCGAAGAACTGTCCTAATTGTATTCTTGCAAACATTTGTCCCACTTGATTGCAAATCTTTTTGCAGTTCAGAGCAAGTTAGTCAAAGATTATTCTGTACTTGTCGAACTAAACTCGTAGCTGTACGGTCAAACATTTTTATAGGACGCTCTGAACGAGGCAGACTAGTCGAAAGATGGAATGATTTCCACCTCCAAACAGTATCACTAATTGTCGAAACTGGGATATTTAACACAGATGAAATTTTTATATATCCCAAACCATCTCTGGATAGATGAATAATTCATTATCTACTCGATTCGGAATATTCTTCAGTTTTAGGCATTGTTGAAAATTAAGGCCACCATTTAATGACGATGCCAGGTATTGAATGACTGCAGTTAGAAAGATATCTATGAGGTTATTTTGCATTCTAGAATATTTCAACCTTTTCTTATTCTAGAATATTCCCCCGAATATAATGCATGAGAAATTATTGGCGAATCTAATTCTTTTTACGATGTGTTGGATACTTTTTGAACCTTGACTTTTACAACAAAATTGCAATTATCAAGCCAACATTTAATGATATTGTTATTTTGATATGATATTTGTATTTTCCATGTAAATTTACTTATGAATGGTGTTTCTTTAAGTTATTTTGTTGAATAAGCTTTAATTAAATGAAGTTTTTCTTTTTGTGTCGGACACTTTTTGCGCCCACTGTCAGTGCCACTTACAAGATAATGATTGCAGGTGCCACAGCGACGGACTGTGGGGGTTGTACGGGGAAGCTGCAGTCAACGCAACCCAGCCACGCATGCCGTTCGTCTGCCAGCCCCGACACCTCAACCCTCCAAGTGAGTCCGCCTGAATAATTTATTATTGTGTTGTGTTTATGGAGAGCCCTATTTGATTAGACCTCCACCCGTTCATCCGGTTCACTTGTCAGGTTGCGGTCGGAAGCTTTACGGTAATTTTTAGCAGGAACGAATTATTGACGAATTTGTGCGAAAGTACGTATTTGTTTTTCAAGTACGAATTTGTCTTGAGGTAATAAATCCGTAGGGGGGATTTGGTAAAAATCAATATTAATAAAGCTATTTTGAATCATCATGGCACAAATAACACATCATCCAATTAGCTAGGAAAATTCTATTTTAAAGCAATCCCAATTTAAAGAGATGGTGCTGGTTGTAGGCTCGAGTCCTACGTACAGATATTTGGTAGTGCCGGCACTTGGTACGGTTTCTACGCGTATGATTCTCTGCAGCACCCTTGATTCCGAGGCTTAGTTCGTCACTGATCCGGTTACTTCCTTAGCAGACATTACCTGATACGTTGAGACACGACCTGAGGTTTGTGGTGGTCCAACTCCTTTAGCTTGTGACGCGGTCGGCAGGCATTAAGAGGGGAGTCTATCTTTTTGCTTTTCATTGTCTTTCTCATTGTGTAGCACTAAGAAAGGCGCGTTGAACGCAGCAAACTGTATGTGTGTGCGAGCTTTACTTTGTGCGTGAAGCAGTTTCTAACATATAAAAGTGAATATTTCCTCACAATCTGTGCAAATATATCTATTAAAAAACTGTATGTAAAGATTTGTTATTCGCGTTAAACTGGACAACAATAAGTCATGCGAGGCTTGATGGTAATAGGTTATGGGAAAGCCGAAGATACATCACCCAACAAAATTTAGCCTTAACTACTTTTTGGACCCGTTTCAGTTACTTGTCTCTCCCGAACAATTACAATTTCCAGTTAACGCAATCTTAAAAAATAATTTTCTGCTTTAATTTACGAGCTACAACATCTAAATCATATTATTCGATTAGTGAAGCCTTTTTCGGATTAATATATTGTTTGGATTATATATTGCATAAAACAAGGAAAATAGGGGGAGAGGGAGCAAAAAACGAAAAAAATATCCAAAAAATGTAAAACGCAATTGGAAAAAAAGGTGTCTAGGGTTGCTAGACATTTGCATTACAAATTGAATGATGTCTCTCTATGTTGTAGCTCGTAAATGGAAAGTGGAGATCCGTATAGGCGCTTTTTTTCAGTTTTATTTACATTTCACGTTTATCTTCGTTATCCCAAACAGTTCGAGCAAACAAAATGTGCTTGCATTTGTTTTTTACATGCGTGTATCAAGTTTCAGAACGATCGGTCAATTAATAAAGAAGTTTTTTTGGTAAGCCCTTCCCTCTAACAGATTTGTTGAGATGTGGCCAAGCTTGAGGTTTGTCGTGGTTTAACTTTTTTAGCGTGTAGCGCAATCGGCATGCTTCAACAGATTAGTTGAGACGTGGCTTTAGATTCGTCGTGGTAGTGACACTTGACATTATTAGTGCGTTTGAAGCAGCCTTAGTTCGTCTTCACAAGAACAAATTGTGCTCTTAAGTCTACACGCTGATGGTTGCTAATGAATCTTCGTCATTTACACGAGACACTTCTTATTCATCACCACGCGAACGATCACTAACTACCACTTGCCGCATTAACAAACCCCGATCTCACTCACCGTCGCACGACTGCTCTTTCGTCCCACCAGCCTTTAATCTAAGCTCCAAGTTCGCAAACCCTTTCTTATATCTCCTCCTAGCGGACAACCTCGGTAGTTACCAGCTCTCGCTATGTTCCTACATGTAATTTAAATAGAATTTTTTACTCATTAATAACGTAGTGATTTTTTTTTTCTCTCTAATCAATTCTTGTTAACCTGTACAGATTCCATTAATTGGCTACAGCGGCAATGTCATCTGTGAATGTTGCAATCCAATCAAAGTAAATGATGTGTATTTAATTACTGAGAAGAAGTGGAATGATTTGATGCTATCGACATTTCGGCAGGTGAAATTTCTTATGAAATGAGATGTACCGTTCTGCAGCTAACCTTTTTTAGCCCTTTGAATTTAGTTACTCAACCTTCTACGTTCTTACTCGAACCCTAACAAACCATTGCTTGCTTGGGGCTGTGGACTGTTTTTTCGTTTGTCCTTCGCAGTTTGTGGACGGAAGCCGCGCTACCGGAGCACTGGGCGTACATTAGACCTGTTCGAGTACTATGCCCCGCGCAACCTCCATCCGTGGCTGCTGGGGCTCAAGAAGTATAAGCGCTACGAGTGCAGCGCCACTCTTATCAGCGACTCGTGGCTGCTGACGGCAGCGCATTGCGTCGTCCGGTACTCTCACTTATTTTACTGATTATTAAAACATTTTAATCTGATAGTCCTGTGGCTTCATCATGAGGCGTCAGATAAAATAAAACTTTTGAGCATCACAAGCTTCTGCCAATTTAATATTTGGCAAATGTTTCCCGTTCCCTGTAGTGGGTTTGCATTTAGCACTGGTATTAAATTATTAATAATCATCATCTCTTAAACATGTTAATTTAAATAAGCACGTAGATTTAAATAACCCGTCCTACACTAAATTCCATCTACCTGCGGTGCACGAAATAGTGCAACGATCAGTTTCCCTTGAAGTCGGGTTCTGCTCGTCGCTCTCGATATATTTTACCACGTTTTTCTTAGCTCGCTTTCGTGTCCGTCTGTCTGTCTGTCTGTCTGTCTGTCTGTCTGTTTGTGATGATCAAATCTTGCAATCGATATTTCACCAACTTTCCCGCTAGCTAGCGCTCTGAAACTTTTAGGGAAGCTCAGCTCCTAGATATATCAGCAATACACTTATCAAATGTTCAATGAACCATCATATTCATCATATCATGTAATCACCAAACAATTAAATACATATGCGCCCCGCGTTTTTCCTTTTAGATGTTGTAAAATATTTTAACTGAAATACAAAAGACCAAGAGAATGAAAGCAAACAGAGATCAGTAGCTGCCGAAAAATTATTTTCTACTATTTAGTCCACATGAAAAACGTGGTCTTTAAAATTTTTTTTATACATTTTATTAAGTCCTTCGCCGAATTGTCATTCGGAGTTCAAAACATACATATGATTGTAGATAATTATGCATTATTTTTACTTCTCTCCATCCTAAAATTGCACTTTTTCCGCATGTGTAAAGAATATTTGGAATTTCATTTCTCATCATCAGTCGTGCATGAGTCTCAATATTTAGTCATTGCTATCCGTTCAAACAGTAATTTTATTCATCAACTGTGTCCTGCAGTTCGCAGGAGAGCCGAAACAGAACAGTGGACCCTCGTGACCTGAAGGTGCAGCTCACGCTGAATCCACGCGACGACAGATTCGTAAGATTTTATTCTCCTTTCGAAAATTATCTTCTTAAAAAGATTATTATTATGCGGCGTTATCTTTCTTTGGTGCATTTAGTAGAGGAAATATTAGCTTATTCGTGACTTTTCTTTGAATTCCCTATTGACCCTTGTGCTCTCGTTCTCGTAGCATCACACGGTAACGAAGACGAGAAGCACGAACCAATATCTGTGCCCATAAACAGGTGACGAAAATAGTGCTTCATCCTGACTACGAGCCCGGCATTAATCCGCTCAACGACCTCGCTCTCGTGATGCTGGAGGAACCGTTGATCTTCAGCGAGCGAATGTACCCCGCTTGCATTGACCTCTACGGGGAAGGCTTCCTCAGCTCCTCCACAGCCCTGGTTTGTACAGCTCATCGGTCGTGGAATTAACAGCAAAGACTCTGACTGAATTAACTTTGTTTTTGACCATATAACAATTAAGGGATTTAAAACTAAAGAAGAGGGTACAAAATTCACTCTATTTTATAATGAACAACTAAAATCTGGAAAGTAAATATAGCCATTGTATAACCCAAAATTCAAAGTCAGATATTAAAACCTAAAACTATCAAATAAAAGATACATCAACCTAAAATAACACAGCAAGACTGGCCTATCTGTTAACAACTTTAATGGGATAGGATGAGTGCGGAATTTAAGCTAGGCTTCCGTTTGAAGAAATAAGATATTGCATTTGATGATGTGCACCTAGCTTAAATGCCGCACTCAGGTCCCATCCCCATGAGATTGTTAACAGATGAGCCTTCTTACTGTGTTACATTATGTTGATGTATCTTTTGTTTGCGAATTTTAGGTTTTAATGTCTGAATTTGAATTTTAGATTATAAAATGATCGTACATACTTTCTAGATTGTCGTTTATCTTTATAAATAAATGGGGAATATCTGTGCCGTCTTGTTTCTTTTTGAATTCCTTGTTAATTTGCGATTTAGTCAATCAAGTGATTTTAGAACTTTTATGTGACCACGTCATGTTCTATTGAAATTCTTTTCGATCCGAGTTAATATTTCACATGTGTTTAGATTTGATTTTTTAACATTGAATTTTTCGTGAAAATTAAATTGTTTGAAGTCTTTTTGGTAGGAAAACCTATGGGACCTAGTTATCCAAAACCTATGGTTGAGGCTTTCCAATATGGCGTTAGTTCCGGTATCGAGCTCGTTTGCATGAAAATTAGCACTTTCACGATAGTGAAGACGGTTATTTTGTTGCTGAATGCTACAGTCATGAAAATATTTCTCGATTTCCTGTTCGTGAACATCAAACTCATGCTGAGCCTTGCCGAGCAGGCGTTCAGCCGCGCCAACGGTGAGTCAAGGCACGAGTACGATGAGGTGCTGCAGGAGCTGGACCCGGACTGCCACGGTCCCACCCCTCGGTGCCGTTCCTTGCGCATCAAGGACACGCAGTTCTGTGGCCTCGCTCTTGGTGAGAGGCTTCTCCAAACTGTTGATATCTTTGCCTCATCTGAAGCAGTTAAGGGGAGCGTCTAGGGTAAAATTTATCTCGGCTATTTACAAACGGATCACTCTGAAACTTGGTACACATTTGTAAAATGGAATTCTAAGACATTTTTGTTCGTGTAAACTTTTCGAAAAAAATGAAAGAAAACGTGAAATTCTTAGAAAACGGCCAAAAAGGGGGTACCGTAGAAATCTATCTCCTCCTAGGATTTTCAAGCTACAGCATTGAGACACATATCATTCGATGCGTAAAGACCATGTCTAAAACCCAACACGAGGGGTTTTAGGATTTCTCATTTTTGTGGGTGTGGGAGCATTTTTCGTAAATTTTTCGAAATTTTTTCGATTTTCCCCCGCGCCACCCCCCCTTTTGCGGAATAAAATCCAATCAGGCGTTCAGCCGTGCCAACGGTGCGTCAAGGTACGAGTACGATGAGGTGCTGCAGGAGCTGGACCCGGACTGCCACGGTCCCGACCTTCGGTGCCGGTCCTGGCCCATCAAGGACACGCAGTTCTGTGGCCTCGCTCTTGGTGAGAGGCTTCTCCAAACTGTTGATATCTTCGCCTCATCTGAAGCAGTTAAGCGAGATCTTATTAGGAGAAATTGGAGTACGTTGGGGAAGATCAATTATTTCGTATATTCAAAAGCTATATTGAAACAAAAGTCTCAGCTAATGATAGCACTCAAGTTAGTGCATTGAGTAACGTGGCAGAGAGACGTGTTGCTCTGTCCTGAATTCCTCAGTGAGCAATATTTTGTTTTAATACAAGTCAACTTAGTATTTTTCCTTATGTATGAAAAGTAACGAGTTCCTATTTCGCTAACTAAAGCTAGATATAGTGTTATTTAGTGTTGCATAATACTTTCAAAATTAATTACATCATGTAGATATTAACTTAGTTCATTTATATTAAAATGGGGCTGAATGATTCTAAACTGGTATTTAGGGTACAAAGTGGCAGGTCGTTTGGGGGACAAAACAGTGTCGGTCAGTGGAGTCTCCGCATATTTTTAAACGGAAACCTTGTCATAATAAAGCGTAGTTATTATCCTTTTGAAAGGATGGGGAGTACTCCCTTGCGGTATTCACTTGATATATCTCTAAAAGTACTCCCATAAGTTACTCGCTTTTGGTACTCACATGAGATATAAGTTTGAAGTGCTCACTTGAGGTATTCGCTTATGGTACTAACTTAATGTATCCAATATCCAATCGTTTTTGGAGAGGATTGTTTAAATCTGTACAATAATTGCATTGGAATGGCTATGTTCATCCCGTATGCCTCTCTCTTCCCTCTTTGTAGCTTCTATATCTAGTCATACACCTCAGTGCACAATCATATAACAATGAAAATTATTTCTGCCTCTTCTATATTGAATTTGCTCGTTACCTTTCAATATTCGTTATTTGACTACTTACTATTGTTTGTTTCGGATATCCAATCAGAAGAAAACAAGAAGCTGGTTGGGGGTTCATCAGGAGGGCCGTACATGCAGAACCTTGGTCCGGACGCCGAAGAGAGCTGGGCTGTGTCCGGCGTGGTGTCCGCCTCCGTGGACAGAGAAGGCTGTGATCAGCCAGTGACCATTTCACTGCTGTCCATCCATTCAAAGAGTGGATAGAAAACGTGGTTGAGGGTGGTCAATAATGGTCGAAGAGCAAAGTCTGACTCGTTGCTTGTTTCGCACATGGCGGACCGTGATTACCTACCGGAATTAGTAGGGCAAGTTGCCTTGAGACCTCAATGACAATTTTTCCTAATAAGTTCCTAAGTTTTTAATAAGTGTTATTCATTCGGCCAGAAAAATACAATACCTACAGTACGTTTGCTGATAGGAAGCGGATACTACGTTGATGAACAATATGCGCAACCAATCCAGATTAACTGAATGATCTACATCAGTTACCCACTTGAAGAATTATGTTTTAGGATTAGGCTACTATATTGTCTTCTGATATTAGAAAAAAACTTATGCTATTCTTCTACTTCCGAGCGACACACCGTCCTCACGAAAGCCATCAGAACAAAGAAGTGCAAAGATCTGGCAACCAAGCGCCGAACTTCTTAGGACCCCAGAGAATAGAATTAAGTTACTCATTAGGTTTTGAGTTTCTAGTTCTTAGAGTTTTACTTTGTGCCCGTTGGCACCTGTTAGCCGATAACGATTTTGATTCACCTAGTTTACTAGTACTGTTGTAACGTCGAGCTAAGCTCCTACACTGCTATTAGTAATCAATATTATTGTTTAGTCCTCTTTCATTATTTTACTTGTGCAAAGAGCTATTGCTCTAACACGCTTGCTCTAACATAATCGTACCTGCTCCTAGATTTTTATCGAGTACCATTCATATTTTTGCAAAAGGGGCCGTGTCAGGTAGTATTGCAACGTTAAGATATACGTCACCACCCTTACCTTCAGTAGCATTACTTACGTCACCTTCCGTGACGTCATTGTAGTAAATCTATACAAGCTCCTCAAGCATCCCATGAGTCAGTCGCATACGCATCCACTTACGTTCTGACGGCTCCGACACTCGCTTGCCTCACTCCCGAACTTGTCGATTTAGCTACCCGATTTATTAGTATACTAACGCCTCAGGGTGACTTATCTTGAATAATTACTGGTTTAGAGTTGCAACTCTTTGATTTGTTTCATTCATCCCTATTATATCATTGGGATAATTATTTGAACTGAAACTAACTTAGCCCTTTGAGTTAATCAAAACTGGTCCCTAGTGTCGTTGAAAAGAGACCCGGACAATACTATAAAATATAGTAAGCAATATTGTCCTAATATTTGCACGGACCAAGTCTGATATGAAATCAAGTGTTACCAGTTTGTCTGATACATTTATATAAGTGTCGGTGATTATGTAACCTGGTCTCCGAACATTGATTCACTGAACAGTGAGAGCAGTTCCATGCTTCACTCTCCCATATTTAACACGGTCATTACACGCTAGCCCAGCTTTGTCACACGACTCACACGGTCTGCCCCGCTGGGCAATTGGCATTAACTGAGCGTTCAGCAAGAGTTAGACCTTAATTAAGGTACTCATACGGTCATACCGCACCAGCTAGCATTCCCAGGTCATACAGTCTCAAGTTCCGTCACAGACACGAAAGCACTTTATGACTCAGACTGTTCACTTGAGCAATACAACGACAGATGCGAGCCTCGCGGGAATAAAGTGGTAAACAGCTGTTGTAATGACTAGGAGAACACATACGTACTCGACTACCTCTCGAACTGAACATATGGAGACTCCCTTAAAAGATCAATAGACGTAGAGTGTGTCTACTAGTTGACATGTGGACGCCTCGATAACCCCCTAGTCCAACAGAAGTCAAACACTCGGAAGAAGCAAAGCTAATAAGTTATCAAAACGCCTTCAAAGACACTAGTTTAATTAAGTGGAAAATTACAGCACCACCTACCATCACTCCTCCAACAAACCTTCCAAAGCCCTGACGTCTCCCCCTCCCCACCCCCAACCTGTGATTCTCTGACCGGGGAATTTATAGTGACTCAACTTTCATCATGATTCCACTCAAACACATTTCATTGTGAAGGTTACTTAAGAGCTACGCGCGACGTCCGCCCCCCACGACGGCGCGGCGACTACTGGGCTTCCCGCCTCCGCCCAGTAAACAAATATGGCGGATAAATACACAGACAACTCGTTAAATAATTCGTTATTTGAGTGTGAACGAGCACCAGAAACTGTCTTTGTTCATAATCTGAATTCATTGAGACAAAAATATAGACTTTAATAAAGTGAGAAGAAATATCCCAGTGAAGAACTCGTAAAAAGAATATTTTGCTTCGCAAAAAATTATAGAGAATTATAATATCGTTCGCAAAAAACTTAT